AAAACCAATGATGTATTGTATGGTGACTAACATAACATAATAAAATTAAAAAAGAAAAAAGAAAAATAAATAAAAATAAAAATAAAAAAATAAACATCTATCCTTTCTCTTGTGATCTTCAATGCCACCTCTGCCATACATCACATTTTCATGTATGAGAGCTCAGAGTGTCATCTCTGTTCTGTTTCATTTGTCTATCCCTTAGTGCCACACTTTGGTGATCAATCACTACAGTTTTATTATAAGTCCTAAGATCTGATAGTGCAAAACCTTTTACCTTTTTTGTCTTCAAGGGCTGTTCTTGATTTTTGCTCTTCCATATGCAGTCTGGAATTGACTTTCCAAGTTCTATTTAAAAAGGCATTTCTGAGATTTTGATTGAATTTCATTTAATTCAAAGTTTAATTTGAGAAGAAACAAAATGTCTAAAAAAATTGAGTATTCTGACCCATGGACATGACATTTCTTTATTTTAGTCTTTAGTGTCTTTCAAAAGAGTTTTACATTTTTTTCCATGCATGTTTTGACACATTTGTTAGGTTTATTCCAAAATTTTGTCTATTGAAGGAAGATAGTCTCTTTTAAATTCTACTAGTACTTATCATTTTAATAAGAATTTTGTCTCTTGGGCGCCTGGGTGGCTCAGTCGTTAAGCATCTGCCTTCGGCTCAGGTCATGATCTCAGGGTCCTGGGATCAAGTCCCCACATCGGGCTCCCTGCTCGGCGGGAAGCCTGCTTCTCCCTCTCCCACTCCCCCTGCTTGTGTTCCTGCTCTCGTGCTCTCTCTCTCTGTCAAATAAATAAATAAAATCTTAAAAAAAAAAAAAGAATTTTGTCTCTTGCTTTTCAAATTTCCCTCCCATTATCCACTCCCTCAGTGCACACACAGATTTACACTTCCATGAATTTAATCTGGAAGTTAACACACAAAAAAACAAATCTTTTGGAATAACATGTCCTTTTTTTCAATAAATGTATGTTTTGCATTCTGTTCCAGTTACTCTGATTATATTAAAATTATATTTGTTAGACTACATTATTTTTCTCATAACTATTAATGTATTTTTTGAACTACCTCTTGGCAGTTAACCAGTTTTGATGTCTACTGGTAATTATTTTCTCTTAAATGCCTTCATTTTTTGAACTTAGAGTTTTATTAACCTCTTGGTGAGCTGGAATATATCATCAATCAGTTTTTGTAAAAAAAGTATTGGGTGGTAAATTTATCAGCTTTTTTCATCTGATAGCTGAGGTTTGTTTTTTTTTAATAACATTCCTCATTTGCAGGTGTAGTTACTTATCAGATGTTGTCCTAACATATGAATAACACATAGATATTTATAAAATTCCTAAATCATAACTTTCCTCTTCCATGTGCTGTAAACTGCCTTGTTGTCTGGCTTTTGTTATTATAGAGGAGATAATGGAAAAGAAGCTATAGTCGATTTTTCCCCCCAGTTTGGTTGATTTTAGGACTCCTTAAACATATTCTTTAAGTTTTAAATTTTTATGAGGCTATGCCATAATATTTATTCTGCTCATTAAGTTTCTCTGGAAGATGTTAAACTATCAATTTCTGATGTCAAGTTTGCTTTTTTAGGTCTGGAATATTTTATCCTCTCCTACCTCCTGTTATTGCTTCTCATCCATACATTTATTCTTTTACTAGTGGGTTTTCTCTCTAAGATTTGTCCTTCAAGTATGCTATTCCCTTTGTGCATAATTTTTTACAACTTTATTATTTGGCCTTTATTCTGGGGATGCTTCTCAAGTTTATTCTCTATTATATGAATTGATTTTATGTATACCTACTGATTTTATTTCAGTTACTACATATTTCATTTTGCTATGCTTGTATCTTATTTCAAACAGTTCTTATTTAATACGTTCTTTTATCATATTGGGCTCAAAAAGCAGATACTCTTGAAAATGTTTTTCTGTTTCTTAAAGTCCGTGTGAGGGAGAGGATGAGGAGGAGGCAATAGAGGATTTTTCTTTAAGCCATATACTTTGCTTTTTCTTTTCTTGGGCAAGAGAAATTTGTGGATAGATAATTGATTAATTTAGCACATATTTACCGCGCATCTACTACAACCCAAGCACAGTTCCAGGCACAGGGTATATAGTGGTGAACAAAATAGGCACACACACATCCCCACTGTCATGGAGGTTATAGTCTATCAGGGAGACACAGGCAATAAGCAAACAAAACATTTACACATCAGTGGAGAGATGTGATCTAGAGAAAAAATAAAGTGAAGAAATGAGAGAGGAAGTGTTGCATGGGGGTGTGTGTGGGGCTGCTTTCAAACTAAGAAGGTGAAGATTTTTAGGGAAGAGGATTCCAGTGGAAAAAACTGCTAGTCCAAAAGCCTTCAGCAGGAGCATGCCTGGAATATAGGCGGACTGACAAGAATGCCAGGGTGACTTGAGTAGAACCAGCAAGGGCCCCAGTAGCAGGAAGTGATGTCAGGAAGGCACCAGGGACCAGATCACACAGGGCTCCCGGGCTTTGACTTTTGTTTCATGAGATGGGCATGCAGCAGAGGATTTGAGAACTGATGTGTGACGTGATCTTACTTTTGTGTATGTGTGTTTTTTTTTTTTTTTAACAGGATCACTCTGGCTTCTGGGTTGGACATTGAGTGCAGAGGCCAGAAGACCAGCTGAGAGGCTGCTGCAGTGGCCCAGGTAAGGGATGCTGGTGACTCGGGCCAGGTGGTAGTGGTGGAGAAGTGCCAGCTCGATTTTTTATATATTTTGAAGCAGAGCTAACATGATTGGCTGAAGCTTTGGATGTCAGGTGGAAGAGAGAAGAAATCAGGATAAGTTCAAGTTCAAGGCTATTTGCCTGAGAAGTGAAATGGCATTGCTACCTCTGAGCAGAAGACAGAGAGAGGATAAGGTTTGGGAAGAGGAGGGCTTCTGTTTTATATGTCATAGGTTTGAGATGCCTCTTGGATATGTAAGCAGAGCTGACATGTAGACAATTGGACTCACCAGTGTGAAGTTCAGGGGAGAGGTCAGTCTGGAGAAGTGACTGGAGAGTTATCAGTGGATGAATTGTCTTTAAAACACCAAAGGGGGAACTGTAGATAAATAAGTGTGCTGACATTTTTCACCTGTTTAATTCACTTTTGAGTTTGACTTGTTGATCATTACTTATGTAAAAAAATCCTGGGGGATTGGCTTTAGGGCTTCTCTGGCGTTTGTGAGCATGTTGGGTGGTTCTGTTTTGTTTTTTGTTTTGTGAACATAGAAGGTCCATCTGGATCTATGTGGGAGCAGATAGAGTGGGAGGTTTGTGCTCACCTCATCACTGCTGAGTGCAAAGATTTTCTTCTAGACCTAAAGACTGTGTGCAGGTTGATATGAAAAACATCTATCATACCTGGGATAAAAGAGACATTGCCAAATCCTGGATTGTTCTACTAGATATGGATTTCCCACTCCTTCAGTTTGGTTGCTTAGCACATTGTCCAGCCCCAGCTCTGTTGCTCTTCAGCTAGATTACGGGGGTAAGCAATGCACTCAGGGCTTGTATCCCTGGACAAGGAATTTGTCCAGTGGTGGACATACAGGCCCCTCGAGTCATGTCTGGGATTGATAAAAGGCTCTTGGAAGAAAGAAATCCTCTTTCCACTGGAATTACTTAATTAATACAGTCCTGGAATTGACAGTTGTTACTCCCTTACTGCATAGAGGGAGCATATTTATAGCAGGAGAGAATACAGCTTTCGTAAAGAGGAGAAGTGAGGTGAGAGATAGGAGAGAAATGTGCCCTAACAACATTGTTTAAAGATCTTGCTCTGAGCCATATCTGAAGTCATCGTTGGACAGCTGCTTGCTTGCTTGCTTCCTTCCTTTCTTATTCCTCTCCTTTCTTCCTTCCTTTCCTTTCCTCCTTGCCTCTCTTCCTTCCTTCCTTATTTCTGGAATATGCTTTTTGGAATTGGCTTTCTGTGCATTTGCAATTGGAATAGTAATAATTTCATGCCTGTTCAATCCTTCAGGCAATCCTCAGGCACAGGTGTGGGAAATAAAGGTCCTTACAAATGGTTCATTGAACTAAAGAAACACGTTCAGATGCTCAAATAAACTCTTTTTTCTGTATCTCAGAGATGCCATCACTAAGGAGCATCAGGATATGTTTTTCTGTAGACACATAGGCTGGGTGTGCAGAAGCAGCTCTGGGCAGCTTGAGCTGCCAGCCAAGACTGGAATGGGGGTCAGCGGTGAATGAGTTCGTAGAAGTCCTTTCCTCCCTGTTTTTATTTTAGTGGAGGAGACAGATATCAAAGAAATAAATGTAATTTAAATAATAAAGCAGAAAAGGGGACAGGGAGCTCAGGCCCAATTATGGATAGGAAGGGCCACTCTGAGGAGATGTCTTCGAAGATCATAAGAGCAAAGTGTGTGAACATGTGGTGATCTGGGGGGATGCATTCCAGGCAGAGGAAATAAGGCCCTGAGATGGAATGAGCTTGTGTGAGCAATTGCCAGAAGGCTGGTGTGTGTGGGGGGAGAACAGGGTGAAAGATGAGAAGAATGGCAGTCCGAGTTGTAAAGGGACCTGGTCCTGTCCAGCCTCGGGGTGTGAAGGTAAGGATTTGGGATGTTCTGCAGAGATGAACTCCATATGGGTAAAATTAGGGAGGACTGCTGGGAGGAAGCAGCAGGGCCAGGAATGCTGGCCTGAGCGCTTCCCTCCCCTTCTAGGCCTCTTTCTGCTTCACTAGAGCCTTGGGGGGCTTGGTGGAGGGAGGAGGGGAGTGGAGCAGGGTCTACAGGCTACAGCAGGATTTTGGTATTTGTCCAAGAGCAATGAGGAGCCACAGATGGGTTTTAAACTGCAACAGGATATGGTTGGGTCTTCATCTCCATATAGTACTTGGAACCAGAGGAAGGGAGGATTATATAGTAGAAGTGTCTGTTATTCCCCCCCAAAAATATGTTTAAGATTGTCAACAACAAAAATAAAATTCCCTGTAATCCACACCTTCCCCCACCTCCTCAAAAAAAGAAACCAAACCACTTCTGAGTGTAATGAGGAGCTTTAGGTTGGTGCTTTTTTTTTTTTTTTTTAAGATTTATTTATTTATTTGAGGCAGGGCGGGGCAAAGGGAGAGGAAGAGAGAGTCCCAGGCAGACTCCGTGCTGAGCATGGAGCCTCGAGGCAGGGCTTGATCTCACAACCCTGAGCTGAAACCAAGAATTGGCACTCAACCCACTGCACCACCCAGGCACCCCTGGACTGGCTTTGAACAGGGAAGTGTTGTGATTCGATTTATGCTTTAAAACCATCACTAATGTTAGAGGCTGACGCCATGGTCCAGGGGAGAGGCCGTGGTGACAAAGAGTCATGAGAAAGCTGGAGATAAAGTTGATGGGATTTGCTGATGGAATAGTCATGGGGTTTGAGCACATGACATAAGTCTCATATTGCCTGAGTGAGTAAGTCATTGTGCCCCTTACGGATATGGGGAAGTCAAAGGGGCGCATTCTGAGAGAGGATGTAAAAGAGTTCTGTTCGAGTGCTGTTTGTGCTAACATAGTATGATTGCACGGAGCTGCTCCATATGTCCGGCTTGAAGGGGATGTCTGCTGTGTGGGTTTGTCTGGAGCTCTGGGGAGAGGCCAGAGAAGGAGATACTTGAAGAAGTCAGTGACGTGAAGATGGACTTAAGGCAGTCGAACTGGATGAGAGGTCCTGGGGTGTGAGTGTGGGGAAGTTGGAAGCCTGAGCCCCAGGAAGTTCTGAAAGAAGAGGCTTCTAGATTTGAGAAGGGCTGCTATAAAGCAGGACACTCGGGCAGTGTGGTGCTCTGGGGACCAGGTGCCTGAGTGTTTTCAGGAGAAGGGGGATTTGTATAAAATATTGCTGAGTGGCCAGGTATAATCGGAGTGGGAAATAGTCATTGGATTTACCTTTATCATCATAAACATCAAGGCCAAGGTTTGAGAGGGGTGGAAGAATCAGCCAGGGACTGATTCTTGACCAAGCATAGAAGGGGCAGTCCCTCTTCTCTGCCAACAACTAATGCAAAGCAGGACGTACAGAAGCTGCCCGAACCCAGTGCCGCCTCTGGAGAAGTATTACAAGTGATGAGTTGGCTTATCTGGTGGAAAAGCCAAAATGGTACCACTAGTGCTGTGGTGGAGAGAAACACAGATTGCTGGGAGTTTCAGTAAGATTAAGATTATTTTATTACATCAATGTAATGTTTGAATGTGACCTGCCCTGGAAACCTGAATGTTAAGCTGGGCACCGAACTGAAGCTGCCTCCCCGGGGGCTCCAGGCAACAGATGAACTTTGCAAAAATCAGGGAGTGTTTATGGTAGTTGTTAGCACAGTCTGTTGGCAGTCCTATCCAACATCTATTTCCATGATTAGCTCATATTTATTTCTTCTTTTGCACATCACCTTTTTTTTTTAAAAGATTTTATTTATTTATTTGACAGAGACATAGCGAGAAAGGGAATACAAGCAGGGGGAGTGGGAGAGGGAGAAGCAGGCTTCCCGCTGAGCAGGGAGCCTGATGCGGGGCTTGATCCCAGGACCCCGGGATCATGACCTGAGCTGAAGGCTGACGCTTAACGACTGAGCCACCCAGGTGCCCCTGCACATCACCTTTAAGTTGAGCACGTGATATGTGCTAAAGTCAGCCCGGGGGAAAAAAAAAACTTCTCTGGCATTTAAATGGATTTGACATGTGTTTGTTTGGAAAGTTTGGGGGACATTTTATTAGGATATTCCACTGGAATAAATTAATAGCTACTTGAACTATTTTGAAGACAGTACAATTTCATTTACTCTTGATGAAGGATCTAAGGAATAGAGGTAACGAGGGTGGTTATAATATAAACAATATAATTGTGGAGTTCACACCAGGACTTACCTCGTGAACACTGCACAATAAGTTTTTATATTTTGGAGTTCTAATATTTGAGGGTTATGTCTGATTTATGAACTAACTAATCTCTGGAAAGTAGCCTGCTACTGAGCTATCTAGTGCTGTGAGCCTCTGTTTACAAATTACATTTTTAAAGACTGGTCCTGAGAGAATAGAACAGAACCAGTAAAACTTGCACCTTTTCATATTTAGACTAGTTTTCTCGAACAGCTTTCACTGGGCTGATGTCTGAATATTTGGTTAATATGACCATGTTTTTGATGTGTCCTTTCTAATCTTCAGAAGAAACTTAAATGTCTCTGGGAACAGAGTTAAAGGAGTAATTAACTTTTCTTGGCAGGGGTCAGGAAAGACTTCAGAAAAAAATGTAGCATTTGAGGCCAGGCTGGAAGAATGGATAGTTTTATGGTAGAAAAATGGAAGAAAGCATACCCCACAGAGGGGAATCATGAGCAAAGTTGAGGCCATGTGGAAGTGCCCAAGGTGCTTGGATCCAGGCCAATCCCAATGAGAAAAAGTATACTTCGGAATTAAGGACTTTAAAGACAGGAGCAGACCTCTGTGGTGTCCATAGTTTCTAGTTAGCAAGTACATGAGCTGCTAGATGGCCTGCTGTCTCTGGGGCAGGATTGATTGCCATTTCCTACTGTGGCATTTTCCTGCTGCTTTGACATTTGCATGAACCCAGCAGAGGATGCACACTGGTGTGGCTCAGAACTAAGGATTGATTTTCAGTCCTGCGAAAGTCTGTAGGTGACCTTCAGAGCCAGCTAAAC